CGCGCTACAGCTTGAGCCACATCCCCAGCCCAAGTATGGTGATTTTAAGTCCTCTGGGTGTATACCAAGGATTGGGATAATTGAGTCAAATGGTGGGTCCATTTCCAGTTTTCTGAGGAATCCATATTGCTTTCCAGAGTGGTTGCACCAATTTACAGTCTCATAGGACTTCATTTTTTGTAGATAATACTGACAAAATTTGCTGACAGATTTCATGTGAAGAAAAATGTCACATTCCTAAAAAGTTCTGGGGGATGGCTGGACCCACAGGTCCTGATGACATGTGTCAGGTACAAGCCTCTCAGATCATCTCCCAACACCTGGGAGTTTATTGCAAATACAAATTATCAGTCCTCACCTGGGAGCGACTGGGGTTGGAGCCAAAAATCTGGCTTCACGAGTCCTCCAGGTGAGTCTAGTATACTCATTTAAGGAATAGGCTGCTGTAACAAAGATTTCAAAACATGATGAGTCAAATTAAAAAGTTAATTTCTCTCTCACATGATACTCCAGGGCAAATGATTCAGGCTGGCCATATGGGCATCCAGGGACTCGGGCTCTTTCTCTCTTGAGGCTCAGCTATTCCAGAGGATTTTCTTTTCAAAGATGAGATGTTGCTGTGTTGCCCAGGCTGGTCTTAAACTCAGTCCCCACTCAAGAGACTCTCCTGCCTCAGCCTCTCCAGTGCAGGGACTACAGACACACAGCACCCCACCCATTGCTCATGATTACTTTTGAATATTTCAATAAATGACTCTGCCTAAGTTCAATTCATGCTTTACTGCTTAGTAGCTGTGTGACCCTGGGTAAATTTCCTTACCCTTCTGTGCGCCAAGTGAGCAAACTAGGAATGACAAGAGTACCATCATCCCTCACCTATGGCTAATGTGAGGACTAAATGAGATAATTTTTTTAAATATTTCTCTTTTAATTTGACACAATATCTTTATTTCATTTATTTATTTTTATATGATGCTGAGGATTGAACCCTGGGCCTTGCACATGCCAGGCAAGTGCTCTACCGCTGAGCCACAACCCCAGTCCTAAATGAGATGATTTTTTTAAAAAGATATCTTTTTGGGAAAGCTGGGAATGGAACCACCATTTGACCCAGCTATTGCCCTTCTCGGACTATTCCCTGAAGACCTTAAAAGAGCATACTATAGGGATACTGCTACATCGATGTTCATAGCAGCACAATTCACAATAGCTAGACTGTGGAACCAACCTAGATGCCCTTCAATTGATGAATGGATAAAAAAAAATGTGGCATTTATACACAATGGAGTATTACTCTGCACTAAAAAAATGACAAAATCATGGAATTTGCAGGGAAATGGATGGCACTAGAGCAGATTATGCTAAGTGAAGCTAGCCAATCCCTAAAAAACAAATGCCAAATGTCATCTTCGATATAAGGAGAGCAACTAAGAACAGAATAGGGAGGAAGAGCATGAGAAGAAGATCACCATTAAACAGGGTAGAGATGGGGGAGGGAAAGAGAGAGAGAAAGGAAATTGCATGGTAAAGGAAGGAGACCCTCATTGTTATACAAAATTACATATAAGAGGAAGTGAGGGGAAAGGGGAAAAAAACAAGAGAGAGAAATGAATTACAGCAGATGGGGTAGAGAGAGAAGATGGGAGGAGAGGGGAGGGGAGGGGAGGGGGTATAGTAGAGGATAGGAAAGGCAGCAGAATACAACAGACACTAGTATGGCAGTATGTAAAAAAGTGGATGTGGAACCGCTGTGAATCTGCAATCTGTATACGGGGTAAAAATGGAAGTTCATAATCTGCTTGAATCAAATGTATGAAATATGATATGTCAAGAGTTTTGTAATGTTTTGAACAACTAATAATAATAATAATAAATAAAAAATATCTTTTAGTTGTTGATGGACCTTTATTTTATTTGTTTGTATGTGGTGCTGAGAATGGAACCCAGCGCCTCCCACATGCTAGGCAAGCGCTCTACCACTGAGCCACAACCCCAGCCCCTAATGAGATGATATTTTAAAGCAGCATAGTGCCTGACACGTAGAAAGTGTTTTTATGTATTCGTTATTAAAGATGTTGGTGACGATGACCACGACCACGAGAAGGACCCCATTCTGTAGACCAAAGGGTCGTCCAGCTTAGCGCTCGCTGATGACTGTATGAGCATCCGTCAGTAGGGGCCGCTGCCGGCTTGGAATGCCACAGCGTGTTGCGACCATCAGGGGGCGCTGTGGAGCTCGTCCCGCGGCCGCAGTGACCGGCTGGACCAGTTCCCTTTGGACATTCCAGAGGAGTACGCGTCGATCCCGGCCAGTGCCAAAAGCCTCAGGGCCAGGGCTGGAGATTAATGTGGGGGACGTAGGCAGGAGAAAAACTAGACCTTTGGCACCACCTCCAGGCCCAGCGAGGGGTGTGAGGGATGTGTGGCTCAGCAGTGGGCTCCCACCTCTGCATCCATCCCCAGGAGGCTGAAATGAGAGCTCAAAAATTTTCTAGCACCGTTGGTCACCGGTCTGGTTCCTGGGGCATCCATACAACAAGTTGTGAGAGAAATGGGATGGCCACGGGAGTTTCCCAGGGAGGGAATGGGAATATTTGGAAATTACCTACAACATTCATTTGAGATTTTCTTCCGTGAATGTCTAGAGGTTTCTATGGATTCCCAAAGGAATCAAGGGCCCCAGACTGAAGAAATGGGTCAGAGGAGATCAGCTACCTCCTCCCAGCACCAGTTGCCTCTGACCTTCCCCACACAGCCCTGACCTCTCTACCTGAGCCTCTGCCTCCACAGCACAGGTTATATGTGGCCATGTGGCTGCGTCCCCAACTGGAGCTCCATAAAAGCAGTGGCCAGGGATGGCTTAGACACCCCAGATGTCACTTACCAGCATTGTCCAACCCAGGACTGAGGCACCCAACAAGAGGCATTTATTTGCCTTTCTTACCTCCATGTCTCTGTTGACTCTGGTCACACCACTGGAACACCATCCCCCACCCCTTCATCTGGCTCATTTCCCAACCTTGCTTAGGTCTCAGCCCAGACAGCCCCTCCAGGAACCCTCCCTAGCTCCCACCCCCTAGGGTTGGGTTAGAGTTTGTTTATGTTCCCAACACTCACAAAGCAAGTATTATGGAAAATATTTGTTGAATGAATGAGTGAGGGTTAGTGTTTGGGTTGGCTTCCCCCTGTCAGCTGCAGTCACTTCCTGGCCCCCTTTGTAGAGTGTTTTTTTTTTTCTTTCCCCATTTTTATTGAGTTATAATTCATGGCACAACTCACTCATTTGACGTGTAGAATTCCATGATTTTTAGTACCGGCTTGTGTACCCCACTTTGTGGAGCCTTGAGCTCTTGTGTCCTGACACCCCTCCCACCTCTGTCCCTGTGCTTGGTGTTTCTCACTGTTCTGTTGGAGGAGATAGAGTCTGGCCTCCTCCTCCACCCTGGGAGGGATAATTGGTAAAGAACAAGACCTAGCCATCTGCCCTCACCATCTGACCAGCGGCAGAACTCAGCCCTTCCTGGAGGCCCACCCAGGATTACAACAGTGACTGAGCCCTTCTGTGCTGGGTGACATTCTAGGCACTTAACATATATAACCATTCATTTAGTCATCACCAACCATCCTGGAGAGTAGCGCTTTGTAGTCACTGGGGTCTCTCAGAAATTCAACTCTTCCCCAAAGCTTGGGAGGTAGGCAGGGGGTGGGGTTCAGAAGGAGCCCCCTTTCCACTTATGCAAACTGAGTTAGACCCCTAGCATTAAAACTGGTGCCTCACAGGCCAGATTGTTGTAAAAAATACATTATTATTTAAAATGAGATTTCCCTTTCTGCTCCACCCCCATCCCTAGGCGGAATGTCCTTCATTATACTTTGATTTTCCCATCCAGCTTGGTCACATCACTTGTGAGGACCCTCAGGCAACTGAGTTTGAAACCTTGGGGAAAGAGGCATCATAGGTGGGTGAACTCTTGGGTTCAGCCTGACCCGTGCCAGGGGCCCCTGCACTCCCCTACCCCACACCCCCCATCCCTGCCCTGAGCTTTTTTGAGATCAAGCTGTTGTTTTTTTCAGAGAGGAAGGAGTCGCCACATGGACAAGAAGTAGGCAGGGGACAAGGACTGCCCGGACTTGACCATCACACACAGCTGCTTCCCGCCTCCACGTGTCCTAGCATGGGCCACAGGCCAGGACTGCTGCTCCCTCATCTGTCCACAGCCAGCTCCCAGCTGGAGGGTCAGGTTCACCTCTCCTGGGACTCCTGTCCCTCTCTGTACCCCACTTGTCCCAGAATGGCTTAAGATGTCCTTGGGGAGTAGAGGAACTCTGGGCCCTCATCCAATTGAGAAAGCAGGATGTGAGGCTGCTCCCTTCTCTCCCTGCCTCAGGTTCCAGACATGGAAGAGGCGCCAGGGGGTTTACCAACAGGGCCAGGAGGAGGCATTAAAAACCCCGAGGCGAGATCTTTCTGGATATTAGAGAGAAACAAAGAAAGAGAATGATAGACAGGGAGAGATGTAAAGTCAGAGAGTTGGGCAGAGAAAATGAGGCAAAAAGACAGAGAGAAATATAGCTGGGAGAGAGTCAAGGACCTGGACAGTTAAAGAGACAGAGGCTCTGATGGAAGGTAGTGGCCACTCAGGAGGTTGAGGCAGGCGGACTGTAAGTTCAAAGCCAGCCTCAGCAACTTAGCAAGACCCTGTCTCCAAATAAACAAGGGCTGGGGATGTGGCTGAGTGGTTCAGTGCCCTTGGGTCAGCCCGGTAGGAGAGAGAGGGGTGGGGGAGAAGACAGAGGGCAGGGGGTATAGCTGAGTTGGCAGAATGCTCGCTGGCATGTGTGAGGCCCTGCGTTCAATCTCCAGCACCACATACATCAAATTGTAGATTCAGAGTCACGGAAATTGAGTCAGACATGTCATCAGTGTGTGTGTGTAATTTAGTGACTAAAGAGCAAACTCTGGAGCCAGATTTTGAGAAAAAGAAAGGCAGAGGCAAAGGTACAAAATAGGTGTTTTTAATTGAACATTTTATAAAATAGAAAGGAAATGTGAAGGGAACCTAGGAAGAGACCAGGCCCAGGGCTCGGGCAAGAGGGGCTGGGGGTGGTGGGAAGAGTGAAGACCTTGCTCCTAGAGTCTATTAATCCTGTGTCCACTAGCTCAATCCCAGTGCGCATGTGCACTAACAGGCTGCAGGTGTGCCGGGCACCTTCCCAAGTGCAGGCGTGGGTAGGATTCAGGCGCGGGGCCGCGCAGGCGCACAGTGGTGTGGCTGGTGTGTGGGTGCAAATCCCGGGCGGCAAATACAGCGAAAGGAGCCATCGGTGTTGACACAGCGCGCGTTGACACAGAGTGGGGAGGCTGCCTCTGCCTCATCGCACTCGTTGATGTCTGGGGAGGGGGTTGAAGGAGTGCTGCTCAAGGCTGAGGACCCCGCATCTGGCCTCCCTGGTCCCTGAGACTCAGTGGGGCAGAAGTATGGATGTGGGATGTTGAGCCTGTCTGGTTTGGACTTAAATCCGACCACTGTGCTGGCTGTGTGAACGTTGGCAGGTAGCTTAACTGCTCTATGCCTCAATTTGAGCTTTCCAAGATGGGTATGGGAGCTACACCACTAGATTTTTGCTAGGAAAATAATACTGATAATATCAACAACAGTGAACACTTACCTTATACCAGATATTATTGTAAACACGTCACCTGTATTAACCTTATCTTCCTAATACCCCTATGAGGAAGCTCCTGTGATCCTGTTTGAGCCGTATGCATAAACCAAGGCCCAGTGTGGGAAATCCCTTTGCCCAGTGTCTCACAGCAAGCCTACACCAGGCAGGTTCTCAGGCCAGGTCTCCCAGTCTCTGGGCGCCCAGCCCCCTGCTATTTCTTGGCTGTGAGACCTCAGGGGACTCAATTCTCTTCTCTGAGCCTCAGTTTACACATAGGTCTCAGTTATTAGGAAAGTGTTGATGATGTTCACAACTCTTCTGTGAACTGGGTTCTTTGACTATACCCATTTTCCAGATGAGAAAAGCTAAGCAAGGGACAGTGACCTCTCAAGGGTCACAAAGCAAGTTGCTGGACTGAGCCTGAGGTCTGTCAGATTCCCCTAGAGTTCCAGATTGTCATCACTTGGCTTTACCCTTGACTTGACAGACATGATTAATATTCCCACTTTACAGATGGAAAAACGGAGGCTTTCCAAAGAGGCCAGGCAAATCGTCCAAGGTACCATTGGCGGTCCTTAGAAATCACATCTACAGGCCTCTACTCCTCGTTCTGCTTCTAGGCCCAGCCCCACCCGCCCTGTGGTCAAGCCCTGTCTTCCTCCAACCCTGACTCACCCCTAATTAAGAATCACCCCCTTGGAGCTGGTTTTTCTCAGGTATTCTTGGCCACCTACCTCCACCAGAGTCCCCACCCTCTCTGGGCGAGCCCTGCCTCTCCCCACCGCCCCTCACCGACACAGGCCATGCGGGTTATGTCCAGGCGGTAGCCATCGAAGCAGTCGCAGGTGAAGCCTTCAGGAACGCGCACGCAGCGGCCGTGGGCACAGCCATCCAGGATCCCACACTCCTCGGCCTCCAGCCCCTCATAGGGCTCAGCCAGGGCGTCTGTGGAGAGCCCAGGAAACGAGGCTTTGGTCTCCTCATTCCCCCACCCACCCACTCTACCCGAATGTCCCAGTGTTGGTGCCTCTGGCTCCTCCGTGGGTCTCATTCTAAACTGTCCCTCCTGCTCCAGAGCTCAGGGGCGCTGGGCGCCATGAGCTCCACCTCATTTGGCCCTCCTACCTTTTCCGTCCCCTTCCCTCAGTTGGTCTAGGGGTCTTTCTCTGGTCCTCTTTATCGCTCCCATCTCTGCCCCTTCTCTTGGCCTATCTTCTTTTTCAGCTTCTCCCTCCCTCCTGTCTCTCTCGCCTCTGTTGGCCCCACTCCTCATCACTGGCCCACAGCGCTCACCTGTGTAGCCTCGACCTTCAGAGGACTCCTCAGGCTCTGGGAAGGAGCCGCGGGTGTCACGGGACCGATAGGGCCAGCCCATGCCCCGGCTGGGTGGCACAGGAGCCTCAGATTCACCATAGGGGCCACCATCATCCTCAAAGTCCGGCATGTCGAAGGGTGGTGCCCCGTAAGGGGCTTCCCGGCGGGCAAAGGGTCCAGGGGGTGGTGGGTAGGGGTCATAGGGTAGCACGGGTGGTGGGTACAACTCAGGCCCGTAGGGGAGGCCCTGGTAAGGGGGGCCTATGTCTGGGCCATACTCATAGGGCAGCCCAAAGCCACCTGGCCGAGGGGGGCCATATGCAGGGGGACGCAGCACATTGCACAGGGCCTCAAAGTCATCTGCGAACAGAAGCAAAGCCACACAATCAGCTCTGTGTGCATCTGCACCCACCCCTCCACCCCCAGCCCCGACCCTGGGAAGAGAAGCCCAGAGGATCCGAAGGACCCTGGGCTGAGGCCTGGGTGGGAAGCACTTGAAAGGAGGGTGCTGGATTGGAGGAGTAGGATTAGGGGTTTCTGGTGTCAGGATTGAGAGTCTGGAGGCTGAGGTTGTAATTCAGAGATACTGGGATCAAGTACTGAATACTACAGCTAAGAATTAGAGTTTAGGGGGTCCATGGGAGTTAGAACTAGGGACTGGGAGCAATGAGATAAAGGTGTTTTGTGGATTAGGCCAGGATGTATGGGAGGGTCTCAGCCACCAGGACCTGGAAATCTGAAGACCTAGCAGTCTGTGGGCCAGGGTTGGGGGGTCTGTGCAACTGGTGTATGAAGTCTAGGGTCCAGGATTAGGGAGAGGGCATCTCAAAGGTTGTGCCTTGGGGTTTTAGAGACCAGGAGTTGAGGGTACAAGAGATCAGACCTATGGTGCTGGAACTCTGGGATCTGCTGAATCTGGCCTTAGGGTTTGTGTCACTGGAAATCTTTGGGATTTTATTTGGGAACTAAGATTTGGGCATGGACTGTGATAAGGGGGTTAAGGTGCCAACTGGGGGGATCTGTGGTTCCAAGACTGGGAAGTCCAAAGGCCTGGATTAGAAACCTAAGGGGCAGGGTCCGGAGTGCAGCCTAGGCCAGTGGCAGTACCTGAGTCCTGGGCAGGGCAGAGGGCACAGTCCATGCCCCAGGCTTCTCCATAGAGACAACAGCACTCTGTGTAGGTGGCCTGCCGGTCCAGCCGTGGGCGACTACAAACGAGGTCAGGCCCCACTTCCTGCCAGCACACTCCCAGATTGTCATCTGCAGTTGGTGACAGGATGTATCAGGGTGGAAAGGCACTTGCATCCTCCCAAGTGCTGAGCCCCCTCCCCTGCTGGAGCCCAGCCACCTTCTGCCTATCAACAGATTCTTCTCAGCTGTGATGTGACTCTCAGAAGCCCTTTGAGGTAGGTCCAGGGTTCTGCATTAAGGACAGGACTTATTTTGGCAGGAGATTGTTGTGTAGGAGGAGAGGACAGAAGAAGAGGCCTGGGAGATGGGATCTGAGAGGTGCTACCCAATTCCAGCCTCTAGAGAGCTTTATGAACTTGGGGCCCTTGCTTTCCTTCTCTGGGCATTGTTTGAAGTCTCATGGTGAGGGGGATGTTGTAGCAACACAGGAATTGTTTGAATTTTCAGGTTTCACTTGAAAATGAGAGAAGAGACTTTGGGCCAGAGGGCAAAAACAGAGATGGGGAGACACAGAGAGCCTATCCCAGAGAAACTCAAGAAAGATTGACAGAGGTCTACAAAGAGAGGGAGGAAAGTGCACAGAGACCAAAAGGGAGAAAGAAAAGACCAAGTGAGTTAGAGAGACCAAGAGAAAGAGGGATCTGGAAACAAAGACAGATTGAGAGAGTGTCAGATATGCATATAAAATCCAAAAGATAGCTGGGGATATAGCTCAGTTGGTAGTGTGCTCGCCTCGCATGCACAAGGCCCTGGGTTCAATTCCCAGCACTATATTAAAAAAAAAAAAGTTTCAAATCCAAAAGATAGAAACGCAGAGAGAATTGGAGAGACAGACACACAGAAAAATACTAACGGGTAGCAATCATTTAGCACTCAGTAAGGCTAGGCTCCCTTCTGTCATTACAAATAAAATAAAATTCTACACTGTAAGGTAAGAGCTAGTCACCCAACACGCAAGCGGGAAACTAGGTCCAAGAGGAGATATGCAACGTGCCAGTAAGTGGCAGACTGCCTCTAAAAACTTCAACCACCAGGCAAGCTCGCCTCTGAGATCCACACAAAGACAGCCTGCAGGGCCGAGGGGGCGTGGCCTTCTCCAGGAGCGCGAGGGGCGTGACCCGACGAAGGCGTGGCCCGTGGGGTGGAGCCAAAGGAGATTGGCCCCCGGGCGGGGGCGGAGCCAGGGGGGCTGGAACACGTGGGGGCGGCCGGGGCGGAATTACCCAGGCTCTGGCTCTCGTTGGAGACGCAGCGGCGCCGCGAGCCGTCCAGCACAAGTGGGGGCTCGCACGTGCAGTGATAAGAGCCCACCGTGTTGACACAGCGGCCTCCTTCACAAGCTGGCTCCTCGTCGGCGCATTCGTCATTATCTAGGGAGCCATAGAGGGAGTGGTTAAGAGGCGGCCTTCTCCACCCACCCATCCCGGTTCAATTTCTCTTTCTCCCCATGCACTGACACTGTGATAGAAGGAGTCTAGACTCCAGGAAGGACTTCCCGCTGTGATGGGGCTGGCTTGGCCAGGGGTTGGGGAGAGGGAGGAAGATGGTAGAGGTGGGGCTCATACCAACGCACTCCAGCCTCTGAGCGTGGTAGTAGTATCCGTTGCTGCAGTAACACGAGTAGCCTGGGGCTGTGTTCACGCAGACTCCGCTCTTGCATACTTGGTCTCGGAAGAGCTGGCATTCGTCCACATCTGCAGGAAGGGTGAGGAGAGATGGGGAAGGCCCGGGTGAGGGATCAGCTGGGTGAGGGGAGTGTGTGTGACAGCGGGCGTATGACCAGGAAAGACAAACCAAGGCAGAGGAGAGGGCAGTAGAAACCCAGAAGTAAAGACAGGGGGAGCTGGAGACCGGAGGGAGTGGGGATGGGCATGGGGTTGGAGATGGATACAGAGAAACAAGGCCAAAGACAGAGAGAAACAGGAAGAGACACAGACAGGGTGGGACAGATCTGGGGTCTGATAGGGGGTGGGGGATGAAGTATGGCCTCACCTCTCCGTAGACTCAGGTCTCCACTGGGTGCCAGGTAGCCCCTGCCGTGGGGGCACAATGACTGGTATTCAGCTGCAAACAGAGAAAAGGCTGAGCTAGGACCTCAGATTCCCAGCCCCTGCCCTGGGGCGCCCGTGCTTACCTTTACCCCCTGCCTGTATGTTCAGGCCTCTGCCTGTTAGTGACCATTTCTCAGCTTCATGCCCACCCACAACCACCTGGTAGCTGGTGGTTCATTCCTTACCCTGGCAGTATCAGTACTCAATGACACGTCCAAATGTGCCCACCTTCCTACTCTCATGCCCCCCTATTCCCACTCAAACCTTCCGCCCTGTGTCCACCCACCAGCCTACCACCCACCTGTCTCGGTGCTTGGGCACTGCTGGATGCGGCAGCCGCTGCCCCAGCCCTCACCCACAGTACAGCAGCACTCCTGCCACGTCACGTTCCGTGCCAGAATGTTGTCACATGCATCTGGGGCTGCTGTGTCAAAGTAGCACTCCCGGCGCCCACTGCCCACAGGACCCTGCCTGGGTGTGCTGGGTCTTCGAGGTGGGGATGGTGGGGGAGGCCTGGCCGGTGGCAGGTTAGGGCTGGCAGGTGCTTGGGGCTGTGAACCTGGAAATGTACCTGGGGAACCACCAAGGGGCTTCACTTAGGATGGGTTGAGTCCCAGCACCCCACCCCCAGGCCCCGGATGTAAGAGGTGGGGAAACTGAGGCCCAGAGGGTGCCAGCCATCAGTGGCAGATTCAGACTCCACACCTCTCACCACCTATCGTTCTCTTTCTACCACTCTCACCTGTGTTTCTACATCTTTTGCCTCCCGGCCTTACAATTCCCCAGGTGTCTCGCCCACTGCTGTTGGGGAGGACATTTCCCTGGCCTGGGTGCCCCACCGTCTTCACATCTAACAAACTGGCTCCCAGTCTTCATCCCCAGACCTAGGCTTCCTCCTGGGTAGTCGCCCCACCAGGCAGCCCCACGGCTTGTCCCTACAGCCTCTTGGGTGTCTCTCCCACCCACTCTCCCTCCCCTTCCCTGGCCCCTGCCTTGGTCCAGCCCTGTCCTCTTCTCTCTGGATCCCTGTCCCAGCCTCCAGTGTCACCCCTCTTGGCTTTCACAGAGTAGTCAGAGGGAGGTTTCAAAATCTGTTATGCACCTTTCCTGCTTAAAACAGGTGCCACAATGCCCTGGGGCAAAGTCCGACCTCCTGGGTGAGCCAGTGTGTTCTGGCACCTGTCTCCCTGCCTTCCCTTGCTCTCTACCTCATGCCATGTGAGCTTCTGCTGCTCCTTCAGCATGCCAGGTCCTTTCCTGCCTTTGTAGGCCTTTCCTCTTGCTGTGTCCTCTGCCCTCTCACACCTGCTCCTTTCCACTCATCCTCCTGCTCTCAGTTCAGACATTGTCTCCTCCAAGAAGCCCTCCCTCCTCTTTTTCAGGTCAGGCACCTCCTCCAAAAGTCCCTAGGCTTTCCCCATCACAGCCAGTGTATTCCTGCTGGCCTTTCTTCCTTTCTCCCAGTCCTGATGCCTCTGGGTTATCACTATCTGGTCATATCTCTCTCTGCCCCATTGGATGGTGAGCCCCTTATGAACAGAGAATTATCTTTCTCAGTCATTGCTGTCCTCAGTTCCCAGAATAGGACCTGAACACAGCGTATGCCCTGTGAACATTGTTGAGTGAAGGAATGTGACAGAGTTCATCTAGTTCATCAAGGTAGCATTTAAATGGTGGCAGCTGTACAACAATTTTCCTGTACAACCAGCTACCACCAGTTAAATAGACATGTTAGTCTCACCAGCAGAAGTCCGTGGGGGAACACAGCGTCCAGTCATGGGGTCAAACTCCTCAGGGCTGGTAGGACAGACACAGAGGAAGGAACCTTCAACATTTTCACACAGGGCAGCTCCACAGACACCCTGTAGTGTTTCACACTCATTCACATCTGTGAGCAGGAAATAACAAGGGAAAGAGAATCAATGGTTATGACCTTTTGTGGTTCAAAAAATTTGAAAGTATGAGCTTTCAAATAAATATAATGACTTTCTTTAATGGCCCAGATCCCATCCTGTACCTCCTTTTGGTAACAGATCCTGATTTTCCCTTGGGAACTCTGTGCTTCTCCAATTTCAACTAATTTATTTTGAATAGGACTAATTCTACTCTGAGGCAGAATCAACCAGATTACTGCATTTCTCTGGTTCAGACCCACACTGGGCCAGTTAAACCCAGTTTTGGGACTTTCACTGGAAATGTTGAAAAGGAACCTTCCCCTTTAGATCTAGCACAGTTCAACTAAGGATGCTAGCCCAGACTTGCTAGGGCCACCCTGGTCATTATGAAGAGAGAGTCTGCCTAAAAATAAACCCCATAGAGGACAGCAGAGCTGAGAGAGGGACACAGAGACAGAGATAGTCTTGGTATAGTCTTAGATCCAGTTATACCCAGATATAACTTAGATCCAGTTATACCCAGATATACTCCAATATATCCCAGAACTTTGCAATTTTAATTCTTTTTTAAAAGAAATAAAGCCTGTTTTTTTAAAACCCACGGAATATGTGATTAAGATTCATGCACATTTCTGTATGTACATTGGACCTCAAATGAAAATATGTGTAAACGCACATTGAATAGCTCTAGTTCATGATGTGAAGACTGAAGAATCAAGGAGGAAATGTATTGATGACCTTTTTTGTTTTATTTTGAGACTGAGGTCCCACCAAGTTGCCCATTGGTCTTGAACTTGTGATCTTCCTGACTCAGCCTCCTAAGTCACTGCAATTACAGGTGTGCACCACCATGCCAAGTTTACAATTTACTCAAATTTGCCCCCCAAAATTAAGATGGCTTCATGGATAGGTGTGTGAGAAAGCAATTATAAAGAAAGTGATAAAAAAAAAAAGAATCTAGATCACAGGCATACAGGTGTACATTTGTCAGTTCTTTCAATTTGTTATGTTTAGTAATTTTCCTCATAACATATTAGAAAAAGATGTATTTTTAAAAGTTCTCAGAAAAAAATAAAACTCAAATGAACAAGGCTTCTGTCACTTGCCACTAGCAGAGTTTTGACTGATATGGAACTGATCTTCTGTTGCAAGAGCTAAATTCTACAACCCTAAGTTCATGTTTCTCCAGATACACAGACAGGAGCAGGACCTGCTCCACCTCTCCCCCTACCCTTTGCTCTCGCCCACCCCCTGGAGCCCCGTACCCACGCAGTGACGCCCGTCCCGCGCCCCCTCATAGCCCTGGTCACAGAGGCACTGGAAGGATCCAGGCAGGTTCTGGCACACAGCATGGGCACCACAGAAGGACCGGTTCCGGCACTCATCCACATCTGCAATCACCAGACAGTTAGGCCATTTCTGAACCTTCTACCCCTTCCACACATCTCAGCCAACATCTGGTGGATACCCACCCTGGCATCCACCCCCTGGCATGGGCTGATAGCCGGGGTCACAGGCTGGTGTGCAGCGGTACGATCCAGGGGTGTTCTCACAGCGCTGAGCTCCACAAATTGCAGGGCCATATTCTTGGCATTCATCCACATCTGCAAGAAAGCAAGGAGGAATCAGACACTCAGACACACACACACACACACACACACACATATGTGATTAGCCCAGCTCCTCCTGCCCCCATCAGTTCTCTGCCAGGGTCTGAAGGGGGGATGGGAGCCAGAGAGGAATGAGGGGTGGAGGAGAGTTAGGGGGAAGACCTGCAAAATAGAAGAGTACTCAAGGGGTAGGTCTGAAGGCAGAGGAGAGATGGGGAGGTGTGGGCCTATGTGTTTCCAAGGGCTGCAGAAGTCTGTGGAATGGGAAAGAACAGTCAAGAGGGATGGATGGAAGGGCCAGAGCTTAAAGGGGCAAAACCTAGTGCTTGAAGAAATTTGGGGGAATTTCACATGAGCAAAGGATGACAGCCAGGGTGGGGCCTCTTTGGAAGGATAGGTAGGAGCAGAGGAGTGGTAGAGGGTGGGAAGAAGGCATGTCCCTGTTTATGTTAGGAGGAAAAGTGGCTTTTAATCCATAGGTCCACTGGAAGGGGCAGGTCCCAACAGTTCTGGCAAGAGATATCTTTGTGGGTTATTTCCTTAAAAAATAGACTAGGCTCAAACTACAGAGGGGGCACAGGTGGCTCTGGCTTGCCCTGGTTGGGGATAGGAGTATCTCCCCCATCCCCTGCCTCTATAAGAAAATACAAGGACACAATGGTAGCTTATTTCTGCCCCAGAGATACGGAGAGATGGGGTAAAGGGTGCTTTGGTTAGGGGCCCCTTCCCTTTCTCCAAGTTTTTTTTATTATTTATTTTTAAAATTTTGGTGGACACAATATCTTTATTTTATTTTTATGTGGTGCTGAGGATTGAAAACAGTGCCTCCTGCAGGCTAGGCGAGCGCTCTACCACTAAGCCACAACCCCAGCGCCCCCTTTCTCCAAGTTTATAGGGCAAGATGTCCTTCCTCGGTCCCCATGGGAGCGGATTCCAGGAGCCTCTCTTGGGGGATGGAGATGGGGGTTTCGTCTCACCATCACAGGTGCCCTCGGGTCCCGCGTGATAGCCCGGATCGCAGTCCCGGACACAGCGGTAGGAGCCAGGGGAGTTCTCACAGCGCTGAGACCCGCACAGGGCGGGGCCCCGCTCACGACATTCATCAATATCTGAAGAGGGAGGCAAGGAGGTCAGACGGGAGAAGCAAAGGAGGCAAGCAAATTAAGGGAGTCAAGGAAGCAGCAGGAAGGAGAATGCCAGGGAGCAGAGAGGGGCAGTGAAAAAGCGGTGAGGAAGAGGCCAGGGTGCATGGCAAAAATAAGTGGTGGGGAGGGATCAAGTCGGGGCGCGGCCTCTCACCAAGGCAGGAGGCGAGGTCTGGGCCGGCCCGGTGTCCCGGAGGACAGACACACTCGAAGGAGCCGTCGGTGTTGGTACAGAGGCCGCTCTGGCAAAGGTCCTCCTCGCTGCACTCATCCACATCTGCGGATCAATCATAGAAAACCCAGACCCAACTCCTCCTCTGCCTACACCCAGGCCTCACCCCTCCACCGCCCTTTCCCCGCCCCTCCACGCTCCAAGCCTTTAACGCCCTCCCCCACCCGCCTCAAGCACCCTCCTTCCCTGCAAGCCGCGAACCTGGGGTTTTAGGACTGTCCTTTCCAATCACTGCCCAACTTCACAGACTCCGCCCTTTCCCATGCCCCGCCCCTCCCCGTCACCACCTTGAGACTCCCCATAGCCCCGCCCCTGTGACTTAGGGAGACTTGGGCAGAAAGTTCAGACCCCGGGATTCCACCTTCTTCTCCCTGTCCCGCCTTTTCCTGCTAGAAGGCCACCCACTCCTTGTCCAGGACCAGCCTGAGTACCGACCGAGACAAGACGCTCCGCGGGGTCCGGGCCGGTAGCCGGGGGCACAAGTACAGGCAAAGGAACCATCGGTGTTGAGGCACTCTCCGTGGGGGAAGCAGAAGTCGCCCTCCAGACACTCGTTTACATCTAAGGAATGCTCGAGATACAGCTGGGCTGCGGGGTCACCTGACCCGGTCCTCCAGAACTAGGTTCCGCCCCCAAACAGCACCCCACACAACCCAAGCCTAAACTCTTCCCACAGCCCCACTTTTTTTGTTTACTTATTTGGTACTGGGGATTGAACCCTGGGGCGCTCTACCATTGATCCACATCCCAATCCCTTTTTATTTTTTATTTTGAGACAGGGTCTCACTAAATTGCTGAGGCTGACCTTGAACTTGGGATTCTCCTGCCTCAGACACCCAAATCGCTGAGATTACATGAGTGCACTCCTCATGCCCAGATCCCACAGTCCTTTACTGCAACTTCTATGTCCCCAGTAGGCATATCTCAGTACTGACAGGCTTTCCTGTTGTCCCCATCCTGCCCACCTGCACAGGGCCCGGGCAGACCGGATGGCGCCCGGTACCCTGGTGCGCAGCTGCAGCTGAAGGAGCCTTCGGTGTTAGTGCAGTGACCATGGAGACCGCAGGGGGCGCCTGAACTGCATTCGTCCACGTCTGTGGGAGCAGGGGAAGGGGGTTCAGAAGGGGTCCAGTCTAGGGGCACACTGAACACATCCCCTTGGAGCAGAGGGGTCTGGGGGAAGTGATGGAAAGTGCCTTGAGTAGAAAACAGGATGAGGACTTCATGACAGGTGTCAGCCCTGGGGACTGGGATTTGATTCCTGTGGGTTTGGGTGTCTGGAAATTCCCTGTGCCAGTATCCTGGAGTTAGGCAAAGGGACTCTGAAATGGCACATGGGTCATAAATCAAGACCATCTATGGGATTCTGCTGAATAATGGATCAGAGTCAATGAATGACTGGAAAATTCATTAGGATCACAGGCTACAGTGAGAATCCAGGATTCTGCCCAAATCAGGAGTCAGGGTCAGGGATAATGACCTAACTAGGTTCCAGGGAAGAGATTCTGAGATAGGATAGGGGCAGTAAGGGAGACAGGATCAAGGGACAGGGTTCTTGGCAGGGTTATGGTTAGGGTCACAGATACCATTCATGGTCAGAGGACAGTCAAGGGTCAGGAGATTAACTGCTATCAAAGTTGTCCTGGGTTATCAATAAAGATTAGGATGAAAAGTCACAGTCAAGTTTAGTGTTCAGAGTCAGGAGATCACATTCAGGGTTGAGAGTCATTGACCAGATAAGGGATTACAGCTTGCTCAGGGGTCTAGACAGGTCACAATCAGGTTGTGAGAGTTGTAGTCCAGGTAAGGTGATTGAGGTCCTGGTCAGGAGGTTACAGCTCAGGTCAGGGTCACCATCTGGGTCAGGGGGTCATGATACAGGTTGCAGGTCACAGTCAAGGCCTGATCTTACCAGTGCATCTGCCACGGTGCAGATGGTAGCCAGAAGGACAGGCCCTGCACTGGAAAGAGCCAGGTGAGTTCACACACTCCTGTCCAGGACATGCCAGGTGGTTCTCACATTCATTCACATCTGAGGAACAGGGGAGAAAGTGGTCTTGAAGGAACAATCCCACTCCAGCCTCACCCACCCCCATACCTCCCTCCCTCCCCGGCCTCACCCTCGCACTCAGAGCCAGCAGCGTTGGGTTGGAAGCCTGTGGGGCAGACACACTGGAAGCTGCCCTCTGTGTTCTCACACCGGCCATAGGCACAAGGCGAGGGGCTACGGGCACACTCATCCACATCTGGAGCAGGGGAGATCAGTTAGGCGAGGGAAGGGGCCTGGATCCCCTGCCATCCCTACCCACCCCAACATTCCTGTCTTGACCCAGCCTGCTGAATGTTGCCAGACTGCCCCCTCCTCTCAGGACAAAGCCATTCCTTATTTCCATATTTAATGGTCTCTCCAGCTGATACAGAAGCTAAGGCACCAGCTCCTCTGTGTTGCCTTCCCTGCCTCAGTTTCCCCTCTTCAGGGTTCCCATAAGCACAAGCATATCCTTCAAAAAGGAAGAGGGATGGGGAGCATTCTCATTTTAAGAAAGAGAAGACTTGAGTCATATCCTCCTGCCTTCTCAATATCCCACCTTTCTGCCCCCAGCCTCCATCACTGAGCATATCACTTGGTTTCTCTGACCTCCCCCCCCACCCCCCAATGACTATCTAGTCCCCACAGCAAGCAGCAGTGCTGCAGGATTGGACCTAGCACCTCACCTTGGCAGGGGGCCCCAGGCCCTCTGGAGCGGAAGCCAGCTGGGCAGGCACAGTGAAAGGAGCCAGCCGTGTTGTCACAGCGGCCTGGCCCACAGGGTGGCGGCTCCTGGGCACACTCATCCACATCCTCTTCACACGCCGAACCCCGGAAGCCAGCCGGGCAAACACAGCGGAAAGAGCCGGACAGGTTCTCACACACGCCGCGGCCACATAGGCCTGGGCTCTGCGTGCATTCGTCCACATCTGTGTGGGGCAAGGGGACCCCATCACTGCTTTTCTTTGTCCCCTGTCCCCTTCCTGCCGCACGATCCACCCAGTGTACCTGGCCTCCATCACTGACTTTACACCCTCCATCATTCCTCCTCTCCATTCTCCATCAATCCCTATTAAGCTAGCTGACTGGCTCCTGGAATTCTGCCTCTCTGGCCTCCTCTATAGCCTCCATAACTCTGCTCCCCTTCCCAATTACTGACCTCTCCATCCCTCCTATTGTGCTTCTCCACCTTCCAGATTCAGTCTTTCTGTTTCTCATCACTTGGCCTTTTCCATGCCTGGGTCACTCTAAGCCACACGTCTGGTTCTCAGAACCCAGCCTCAATCTCCCTGTAGTCAGCCTCCCTTCGCCCCATTGCTCAGTCTCCCCAATCTTCATTACTGCCCCTAAACCTTTCCCCTTGGGCCCCCTTTCCTTCTGACCCCCTCAGTTCCTCACCCTGGCAGCTGGCTCCGTGCGGTGCTGCCTGGTACCCAGCGGGGCACACGCAGAGGAAGCTGCCTGGCGTGTTCTCGCAGCGCCCGCGGTCACACGGCGGCGGCACGCGCTGGCACTCATCCACGTCTGTGGGCAGAACCGGGCAGCTGGGACTGAGACAGACAGTCCGCGGAGACTCGAGGCGTGGCGGAAGGTGAGTGTGGACAGGCGTAGGTAGTTGGGAAAATAGGGGCGGGCAAGGGCAAGGGCGGGGCTTGGGGTGAGCGGGCTTCAAACCAAGACCGTGATTGAGCCGGGAGGGCTGGGCACGCTCTGGGGACTCCTCCAGGACAGAATCGGAAAAGGAGACCGTGAGAGGAGGCAAATTTGGGGAGGGTGGAGCCTGGGAAAGGTCAGGGTGGGAAGAGCAGCTTTGGGGACCCAACAAAGAAAGGAAAGGCAGGAGCGGGGCAAGAGAAGGGAGCGGCAGTTTGGGGATGAGGCTCTGGTGTGACAAGGGTGGAATCAGGGGTCGTGGTCTGGGAACTGGGGGCAGCAGTTGTAGGACAGAGGCGGGGCCTGAGGGCGGGAGCTCGCAGGAGATAGAAAAGGGGCGGAGCCAACGGGGGGCGGAGCCGGGCTGGGCAGTAGAACCCCGACTGGGCCTCGAAAGGAAGAGAAAATTGGCTGCAGGGCTGTGGTGTCGCCAAGAGAGAGCTGATCCAAGGCGGGCTGGGGCCACGGCAGGACAGGGCAGTAGAAGGACTAGACGGGTGTGGGGAGGCGAAGGAGGGAGGGGGCGGTTCTGGACCGAAAGCAGAAGCCACACCCAGGCTGGGAGGGGCCTGGAGCTGGGCGGCACGGATTTCTCACCCAGGCACTCGGTAGCCCGCGGGCCGGCTCGGAAGCCCGGGCCGCACACGCAGCGAAAACTGCCTGGCGTGTTCTCGCAGCGCCCGGGAGCACAAGGCGGGGGTATGCGGCGACATTCATCCACGTCTGAGGGCACGGAGGGAGGACTGGTCACGAGGTGACAGGGTAGAGCGCCCTCCCGGTCCAGTCTCCGCCCTTCAGCCCAGCTTACCGATGCAGCGGGTGCCCTGGGGGCTGAGCCGGAAACCCGAGTCACACGCGCAAGTGTAACCACTGGGCCGTGGTATGCAGCGACCTGGGCCACAGATCTGGGGATTGCGCTGACACACGATTGAGGAGGGACCTGGGCGGGGGGGGGGGGGGAGGCAAGTCAGGCCAAGTTCCCACGATTCTGAACTCTTTGTCCCTTCTATCCTAGTACAATCCACTCAAGTCCTCTTGCCTAAAACACCTTCTTGCATGTCTCCTCCCCAAACTCAGTCTTGGATAGGAATCTGCTCTCCTTTAACATAGGACGTTCTCATCAGGTCCTTGCCACAATCCTCTGCCCACAATGCCACCCAAAGTTATCCATCTTTGAATAGTTTACTTTCCAAAAAATAATGACTTATCTAACAGTAACAGGGCAGTTACTATGTGTCCAACACATCAGCAATCTCTCATGGAAAATTTCACAGTGATTCCCATTTTACAGAACAAAAAACTGACTCACACAGGGCTTAAATGACTTGCTCAATTAACAGAATTGAGCCCAGTTCATACTCCTGCACCTGATCTAACTGCCATCCAACCCTTTGCATTCTTATCTCTTCTGACCCATTTCTTTTCTTCCTTTTTTATTCATTTTTATTTTTATGTGATGCTGAGGATGGAACCCAGTGCCTCACATGTGCTAGGCAAGACTCTACCACTGAGTCACAACCCCAGCCCCCCCCCCATTTCTTATTTCTCTCTTCTTTTCTTAGTATCTTTACCTTGGAGCCTCTTCCCCCAGAATCTCACCTGTCCCATCCCCATCAACACCCTCAAATCTTTCTGCCGCACCTGATTCAGGAATCTCAGGACCAGTCCAGGCAGGAATGCTGGGCAGGGGAAGCTCAGGGATAGGCCGGGGCTCAGGCCGAGGCTCAGGCCGGGGCTCAGGTCTATGTGTGGGCAGAGAGCCTGGGAAGGAAGGGATATCAGGAAGTGAAGACCTGAATTTGGGTGTCCTGGCTTCTCTCTTCCTTTCCCTGAGGAAACACCTTGAAAATGACACCCCTTCCTTCAGAAGCCACCTCACCTATGGGAGGCCGAAGGGTGACTTGTGGGGCACGTGGCTGGCTGAGGGACACTCTAGGTGGCTCCTGGCCCAAGGGTCTGGTGTTGTAGCGGAGGTCAGAGGCTGAGTAGTGGTAACCAGGGCCAGCTGGACAGATCTCTCGAAAACCCTCTGGGAACAGGAAACGGGGAGAGTTAGAAGAGGGCCCAAGAGGTGGGTATATGAGAAAGAGAGAATCTAAAGGTGGGCCTTGGCTGGGTGTGGGGTTTAGTCTGAGAATGCGTCAGGGGTTTGGCTTAGATGCTACAATGGCATGGTGCCCTAGCAAAAGAATTCAACATCTCAGAGGCTAAGGTGGGACCATGAGAGCTTTTCCCCATTTGGGATAGGCAGGGAGTGGGGTTGAGGGCAGAGTTTGGTTTGTGGCCTGTAGGGACCAAGTTGAGCGTCAGAAAACAGCTCTTGTGGGGCTGTTTTATCGAAGTTAGAATGCCAGGAAGGGTCATGTCTTAGGGGGCCCTAAAAGGGGAGCCCAAGCTGAAGGCAGTGTCTCAGGAGCCTGGGAGTTAGCCAAAGCTCTGAGATAGGGTTGCGTATTTCAGGGACTGAGGATGACTCTCAGGAGACAGCTCAGTTGCAGGATGGTGAGCCTCAGGGTGATGGAGCAGGTGTGGCTAAGGATGGAGGGGAAGTCCTCAGTGGAGTCCAGCGGGCCTCAGAGGTTGAGGGCCTGGCCAATGATAGGGCCCAGTGGGGTTAGAATGGTAGTGAGTCTCAGAATTAGAGGGCAGAGCTTAGACTGAGCACTGTGTGAGTGGGGCTAGGCTCATCAGAAGGCACTCACCTGAGCCAAAAGGTGGGCAGAGCTGGCAGCCTCGACCCCAGGCCTTACCCACACGGCTACAGCAGCAGATCTGCTTGGTGATGTTGCGCAGAATGGGCAGTGAGCAGCCGCCATCGCGGAGCACACGGAAGCAGGGCCCCTTAGCCTCTGAGATCACGTGTTGGGCTGGGGGAGGGGGAGGAAATTCTTCAGGGGCTAGGGAATGCTTCAGAACTGAGGGATTTGGGAGGTAGGGGATTGGTCCAAAGAGGGTTAGGTGGGGGTGTTGGGCATTTGGGGTAAGTCTAAAGGGTCTGAAGAAAAGCTGAGGGCTCTGGGATGAGTTTGAGGGGTCAAAGAGAGAATCTGAGAAAGATCTCAGGATCTGAAGGTGATGTAGTAGTCGAAGGGAAAGGCTGGATTTGGAGGTCTAAAAGGAACTCAAGACAGTTTGGAAATCTGAAGGGATCTGGATCCAAAAGCTTTGGATTTGAGGGACTGGTGGAGAGTTTGAAGACTCACAGGAAGTCATCTGAAGGTAGAGGAGAATCTGATAGGTTCTGAGTGTGATCTAAGACAAATAGAGGAGGGACAAGGGTTGGAAGGATCTGGGGGGTCTGAGGGAATTAAGCATTCAGGAATGCTCTGAGATGTGGTTTGAGGTCAGGGATGGGGGTGGTTTGGGACCCTGCTTCAGCCCCATACTGGCAGCTCACAGATGCAACTGCTGCGGGATGAGTCGAGCAGAAAGCCGTCGGGGCACACACACGTGTACCCGCCGCGTGTGTTGGCACACTCCCCGTGCTGGCAGCGCCCACCTGTGGCGCACTCATCCACGTCTGTAAAGGTTGGGGAAATCATCCTAAGTCTGGGACTTGATTCAGCCCGGTCCTTAGAGCCAAGACCCTCTCTCCCATGCTCCTCACCTTCGCAGGACCCATTAACCCTCTCGAAGCCGGCTGGACAAGGCCCATCTGGGACACCGACTCGGTTGGAGTTCCCTGTGGAAAAAGGCGAGAGATGGGCGGGGCGGTATGTGGGCGGGGCCTAAGTGGTGGGAGGGACTGAAAGGTGTTGGGTGTAGTTTGAAGCTCCTTAAATTGGCACTGAGAAGATAAATACCGAGGCTCCAGAGGTGAATGTATGGGGACAAAAGCAGGTTGAGAAAAGAAGTTGCCAGAGTTAGAAAACGAGGTGGTTGACACTGAAAGATATGGATAGATCTAGACTTGATCCCCACAACAGGGTAGAGATAGCTAGAATTTGTAAACAGGATTTATCTATGGGCAGAGTACGGAGAGAGAAGTTCGCCTCCCTCCTTGGTTCCGAGCACCTCGGAGACCTCTTGGGGCTTACCCAGGTGCTCTGAGCAAGGCTGACAGTCATGAACCCCCCAGGCCAAGCCGGTCTCTCGACAGCAGACCTCTTGAGTCCGGAGTCCGGGAAGCGGTGACGCACACTGTGGGGAAGTGTTGGGTGAGCGCGCCCCCGTGCGGTGGCATGCTTGGGACCCCTCCCCACCGGACTACTCTCACTTCGCTTCCGCGCAGCTCCCGAAAACAGTAACCGTAGCCTGAAGCGTCGGAGTAGCCGTCCTCTCGTGGCGCGCTCTGTGCCAACACCGTGTAGGGCGCCGCCGCCTCCGCTCGCGCCACCGCCTCAGCCCTAGCCACCGCTTCGGCGTCCGTCTCTTCCCACGGCCCAGACACACGCTCCACCTGGTGCACCACCACCGAGGCCTCTTGTGGGTGTTCCACATGCACGCTCACCATAGACGCCACGCCTGGAAGGAGTCAGAGCGGGCAAAAGAATGTCCACAAGGGTTCTTATAGACTGAGGCTAGAAATGGATGAGTGAGCTGGTGAAAAGTACTTGAGAAGACAGCAAGATTTGGGTCCGAGGAACAATGAATGAGACGGTTTACAGAGGGATCCAGGGGACTTTGGCCACACTCTCCTCACCGTGTTCATCGTCGCGATGGTTGGCCAGTGGCATGGTGTACACGGAGCGGGTGAGGCCTGGCATGGCTGGGGCCGGGGGTCGGGCGCCCGAAGAGTGCAACTGGCAGAATTTGCCAGCGAAGTCCGGGGGACAGAGGCAGCGGTCGGGCTTCACGCATACGCCGCCGTTGTGACAGATCAGTGGACACAAAACTGGAACGGGGAGAAAGTGAGGACACTCAAAGTGAGCACTATGCCAGGCGGATACCCCTGAGGTCAATGCATCCAAGCTAGCTCAACATTATAAGGAGTCCCTCAAGATATCACTCATTATAAATCTCTCTGCCTTAGCGGTCTTGTGGTCCCGCCCCAACTCCGTCCATCTATGATATAGCTCCACCTAGTAGGTGGTATCCCCACGCCCTCTGGCTCTTCATTCACTTTCCTTCCATTTGTTTTCGAGTTCCACGAACCACTTTCTAGTGGAGTACACGGCGTTACAGCTCCGCCCAGACAGCTCTATTCCCGCCGATTGGCTCAGCCTCCCACAGCCCACGCTAGCTCTTCCTTAGCATTTAGCCCTGCCCCCCCACCCACCCCCCCGTCGTCTGGCTGGGTCCTCTGCTATTTCAATCCCTCCAAGCCAGTTCTGGTCTCTTCCATCAACTCAAACCTCATTTTAGTTACTCCTTGGCATAATTCCCCGCTTCCAACTCTGTCCCCTTTGCACTCTATGCCCGCCCCCACTCTCTCAGAACCAGTGCACAAGGGTCCAGCTACACCCATTGGTCAGGCCCCCCTTCTAGTCCCGCCCACATCACCTTCCACCAGCCTGATTCTAAACCCCGCCTAATCAAGGCGCCTAACCTGACACCTTTAGCCCCGCCCACCCCCTTTCCTCACTCTGATTTGCCCGGGCTCGCTTACGCCCCTCCCGCTCCACCTCCAGGCTGGCTGGCGTCTTGGTCCCTCCCACCGCCCTTGTCTCCGCCCACTTCCCCTCGGACTCGGGTTCCAAAGTTCTAGCTCTGCCTTCCCGCCTCCAGTAGCACCGGGCGGGGCAGCACGCGGGAACGCGCCTCCTCTCCCCTCTGCGCGTCCTCGTTGGGCCCCAGGCCACCTCTGGGCGGGGCACTGCCAGCTGTGCGGCGGGGTAAACAAAGAGAGGGGTGCGGCGGGGGCAGGGCGGCGGCTCCGCATTCCGAACCCTTGGGGAGCCCCGGGACTGTTGAGCCAAAGGAGGCCGGACGTGTCTTTCGAGGGCACCCCCTCCCTTTCTCCCCCCCCCCCCGTGTTGCCGAAAACAGCTGGAGACAGCTGTGCGCAGGGGAGGGGGCAGGCGGCCAGGCTGTCCAGGGAGGCGAGTATGGGATTCTGAGCCACAACTCTAGAGAGGAAAACACAGGGGAAGACACTTCAATTTAGAAGGGTCAAGGGACAGGAGTTCTGGGAAGAGATCAACTAGAGGGCAGTTCTCTGGGGTTCAAAGATGGTTCACGGATTCTGGGATGGATCAGGGAAAGGCTAGCTTAGAGGAAACTGAGGCTCTCATCCAAAGGAGTCTTTCAAGTCCTTTTGGGGAGAGTCACCTAGAGAACAGGACTCTCGGTGCCTTCTAGGGGATGGCGTTTGAGGGTGCTGAGAACAGGGTTTAGATGAAGAAATGGAATTCCTGGATGTTTCCAGAACATAAGACTCAACTGGCTGGGACCCTAAGATACTGGGGAAACCACCTCTCCTCACAGCTAAGGGATTAGATGCCCAAATCTTTTTATTAATGGCTGCATGGGGGAAGCACAATGTCTGGAGTCCTATTGGGAGAATCCCTGATACAGACCAACTCTAGGGTTCTTTGAGAATACATGAGATCTAAAGTTCCTGGGGAGGAGATCAGCTGAAAGTACAGGACTTAGACAGAAATCAGGAATGTGATGGAACTGGGGAAGGCTCAGCTGGAAATATAAGAAAATGGGAGCCTCTTGTTAGGAAGAGAATTCAGCTGGGGAGTGGAGTTATCACTGCATAAGGCTTGTGATATAGAGTTTCTCCTGGAGGTGGGGAGAAGTAGTGGAGGAACAATATTAGGGTTGTCTGATGAGGTGCACAGTTTGGGGAGATTGCCTCAAAAGACTGGGAGGGAACTTTACTGGAGGAACTGGTGTCTGGAATCTTCTGACAGGGGTGGGGAGGAAGCTTAGGATCTGGGCTCCCCTAGTTTGGAGAGTCAGACCAGAACTTCAGGTATTCTAATGGGGTCCTGGAGCTCTGGGCCTAGGAAGCAAGAATCTAAAATCGGAACAGTCTCTGATGGGGTGGTAGCATCCCAGACAAGTCTAGGAGTATTTCCTAGCTTTGGAAGGCATTTCTCTGTCTTCTCTTAGCCTGAATGCAGGCCTCTAGCCCAGTTCTTTGAGAGTACCCACACCCCAGGGTGCCACCAGAATGGTCAGGCCAACACCATGTCCCCAAACCCTGGAAGAACAGAGAGTTGAGGACACTGAGGTCCTACTGAGGTCAGTCCCCCTTCACATGCCCCTTCTTGCGCCTCCAAGGGCTTGGCACACTCCTGGGCAAGGCGCCTGGCACGGGCGCGTTGGGGCTGGGCCGGGAGGGAGTAAAGGAAGGAGGGAGGAAGGGGAGGAGAGAGGGAGTGGCAGCGGGCGGGGTCTCAGGCGGGAGATGAGCTCACGCCGGCCGGGCCGAGGTTGGGCTGGCTGGGGGCCAGGCTGGGCGAGTTCTCGGCGCCAGGGGCCCCCACTCCCCACTTCAGAGGGCCTAAGGGGTAGGGAGGGGGCAGGGAGGACCCGATCCTGGAGAGCCTACCTACTCCAGCACACTAGGACAACAGGTGGCACGCCCTCCCCACCTCACCTGAACCTCTTGATGGCTCCCCATGTTTAGGGGTGCCGGGTGCACACTTCTCTGGTCTCCTCTTCCCCCAGGGGGCGCCCCCTCCACAGATCTCCTATCTAGATTTCGGTCGCACGTGGGTTCCCTGCAACTCAGGTCTTGAGAGACACCCTCCCACACACATTTTCCCTGGGCCCTTTCCCTTTCAGCTCTTCTCATTCCAAATCCTTCCCTCACAGGCATCCCAAGCGGACTCTCCTAATCCTTCCCACCCTCACACAGAGACTGAGACTCCCCCATGCAACCCTGAAACTCTCCTTTGATCTCTGAGGTACCATTACGCAGAGGCTCAGAATTTGGGCTCCTTTTTCAAAGCTCCTAAGCTCCTCAATTCTGAGATCCCCACTTTGACTCAGGAAACCGTCCCCTACCCCCTCAGGTGGGACACCACAGGTCCCTGAGAATACGCATTGCTTGCAAAAGCAGGACCCTCCGGACCCACTCCCCCAAACAGGAATTAGGAGCCCCCTTCCGTAAGTTCCCAGAGCTTCCCCAGCACCACAGCACACGGAGTCTGAACTCCTTCTCCCAGGGGGATTGTCTCCCCATCTCTGGGGATCCTTCTCCCTGAGGAAACCCTCCCTCGGGAGCACCAACTCGCACTCACAGGCGCGGAAGCCCGGTCCCCCGGGGGCCGCCCCGCCGGGGGCGCCGCTGTCCACGCTGGTGGCGTTGCGGGGCGCGCAGGTCGGGGTACAGTGGGAGCCGGTGGGCCCATGGATGCAGCGCAGGCCGCACACCGCCGGGGTGAAGCGCACGCGGAGACGCTCTCGGGGACGGCCCAGCCCGGGCTGCGGCCCGAGCTGCGCCAGCAGCACCAATAGCGGCACCCAGAGCAGCCGCGCGCCGCCCGCCATGGCTGCAGCGCCGCGCTCCGCCGCGACGCCGCCCCAGCCCGCCCGAGGGGCCCGGCCGCGCCCGCCAGCCCGCGGGGGAGGGCGGCCGCGCCCCCGCTCAGGCCCCCCCTCCCCACCACTCCCTCCCCGGCGGCCGCGCGGGGGCGCGTGGGGCTGGGCGCTTAGCCAGAGGCGCAAAGGCTGGGCGCTAGACTCACAAGGGGGAGGGGGCGCCCCCCCCTCTCCCCACCCGTGCTTCAACAAGTGGATGGGGCCCGCAGGGGAGTGGCGGGGAAGGGAACAGGTGGGGGCGGGCAGGTTTTCCCCCCAGACAGAGCTGAATCCATAAAGGGGAAACTCATGAAGAGTAGTGGGGGCCGCATTTGGGGAGACAGCTAAAGGCTGATTCTCTACCCTAGGCACACAGAGAGACTTCCCTAGAGAGAGGGCTATTATGGCGCATCTGGGCAGCCAGGTGGCACATCTGAGGGAGAAGGGTCCGTGCACATGGGCATGTGAAGGAATTAGGAGTCCGGATCCTGGAGAGGAAGCTATGGGGGTGGGACACACTTGAAGATGCAGCCAAATCTGGCCAAGACCCCCACACCTGGTAGACGAAGTGAAAATGGATAAAGGGAAGAAATGGATTGAGGCTGTAGGCGCGGGTCCTCACATCTGGCTCGGGGCCCACATCTGGAAGACTTTAGGGAGGAGGGGACACATCTGGACTGAAGGCCACAGCAAGGAGGAGGACTTTTGAGTGTGGTTGAGACTAGAGGGTGTTCTAGCCTGGGGGTCTGGAGTTATAGAAGAAGGAAAGAGGTGCGGGGGCGGGGAGCCTGTCGCCCCCAGACTCCCCGCAAGCTTGGGCATTAGGTGCTCCAGCAGGCGCCAACCCGCACAATCGCTTTTGTTGTCTGGACTGGTTCGGCCTCGCTCCCTTCTGGGCCAGCGCCCTTCTCTTCGGGAGCCCGGACGCCTGGCTTCCCGGCCCCACCCATCTCCACCCCGACGGGTCAGCACCTCTGGCCTGAATCTAGTCCTGTCCCGGGCTCACCTCGCACAGCCGGACACGGGGGGTCCGTAGAGGTGGCCGCGTGCTGGGGGGTGGGGTGGTCTCAGCTACAATGCTGAAGGGTGTGTGTGGGGGGGTACGTGTAGGCGGCGGCTAGACCGTGGGAACCAGACGGCTTTATCTGGCCCGGAACCCCCAGTCCCCCAGGCGGAGGAAGGGCGGATGTTCTTACCCTGGGTCTGGCCGGCAGGGGCGCGCTGTGGGGGCCTCCTTTTCTGCAGTGCCCGGCTCCCTGGCCCTCGGGGCCGCCGTCGGCTCAGCAGATCTCGGGCCTCCTGCAGTCTGGGTGGGAAGGGGAGGAGAAGCGACCGTCACCGCAGTTAAGTCGACCCCCACCCGCAAGGAAAGGGCATCCCACACTAGGAGAAGGTCTCCCAGTAGCGGCTCTGCCCAATATTCTCCCGGCAACCGGTTTATGGGGAACAGGCCTTGAGTGTTCTTCAGACTCTTGGAGAAGAAACTGAGACAAAAACTATGAAAGACAGAAAAGAGAGGAGAACAGAAGGAGAGAGGAAATGGTGGCAAAGCTAGCATTTCCCAAGGGAGGATCTAATAGAGGAGGAATCACAGACTCACGTCAGTGGCTGCCAGTTAAGGGACACCTGTCTCTTCCTTGTGCTGGGACTGGGACTTGGCACGGGAGGTATTGGGGAGAGGCACCGCTGAGGGTCTCTGCACTTTTCAGGCGGGCAGCTTCGGACCCTGCAGGAGGCTTTGGAGACAGCCAGGGACTAAGTGGGGAAAGAAGGGGTTGAGTCTCTCCCTCCATCAAGTGCATCCAGCTCTCCAACTGGGATGAGGGCTGAAAAAGGGAGCTCTCTCCCCTGCCCCTCTGCTGCTACCTCCTTTCACCCCCTGACATACTCCACTCATTCAGAAGAACCCACCTCGGATGCAGCGGCTCCTCCTGGGTGTCTGGCCTAGGCAGCAGCGACAAGCAGCAACGCTATCAATAGGGGCATGGAAGTTACTCAGACTTCTAGCACCCCAGAATTCCCCAAAGGAGATCTGGGGGGAACCAAGACAAGGCTTGAGGGAATCTCAGAATAATTGTGACTAACTTGGGGCACTTCTCTGCATGTCTAAGTTTCCCATCTATACAATGTTAAGAGGAATATTGGCTTAGATTCTCCAGCAGTGGAGAAAACTTACTTTTATGTGTCTTATGAAGTAGGTTTGGCACTTAGGCCTTATTGAGAAATATATTTTAAAATATTTTTAAAAAATAACAAAAGAACGTTTCTAAGTGCATTTCCAAGCCTCTGCTGTCTGGATCTAGAACTCCGCCCTCCCTTACGTCCCTAGCTGGGACTCAGCCGTCATCCTGAGTCTGGTCGGCAGGTGGCGCCAAGTCCACAGACCTCAGCGGCATCCCTTTCGACTGTGGGTTCATCAGAGTGCTGAGGTGGAACTCGATACTGAAGAAGTCACAGCTCAGGACTAAGAATCCCAGGAACCGACTTAATAGCCCATTCCTGTTCTTGCTCGCTGGGTGTCCTGCAACCAGCGTCTCCTGATCTTTGAGCCTGTTTTCTGATTGACCGGGAAGAAGGGGTCTTTCCTGGAAACATCTCCGCGCGCAGCGCGTCTCAGTGGCTCAGCCTCCAACTCCAGCAAAAGTGCGTCGCAAGGGCCCCCCAGACAAGTCCATTATCCCTAGGCTAAGGGGGGGGGGGGCGTTGGACAAGTGAGCCGGTTCAGGCCCTGGGAAATCAGTGGAGGATTCTGAGAAAGGGATATCCACCATGTGGAATCCTTTCACACGAGTGGGGCCCGGTGGTGGAGGCCGCCAGAGTGGGGGAAGCCTCCGAGACCCCCAATCCCGCCGTCATCCCTCCCGTGTTTTCTCCGGGTTAACCCCTTCCCGGCCCCGCCCCCCGCGCGGCTCGGGTTACTAAACGCATTCGCAGAGACCTAGGCGGGAGCAGAGCCCAGAGCCTTTGTAACCGAGCTCAAGGCCGCCGGGCGGGGGGTGAGGGTGTTGGGCAGATTTTCCTTCGAACTCGTCACCCGCAAACAGTAGGGGTGACTTTAATCCCCCAAATCTACAGTCTACAGGATAACCCAGATCTCTTGCCGCGAAATCACTGGTACCTAGAGTTCTCTAATTCTGGGAAATAGAGCATCCCCAACCTTAATAAAACCTGAAGAACTCCCCTTCCAACACACACACCCCCCTCTCCTCAAGTCCCTCCGCCATCCACCCAAGCGTCCACGTCTTCCTACTCTATTAGAAAAATCCAAAGGTCCTTTTAAATTAATGCAGTACCCCCACCTTAGAAATCCAGAACATCTCAACTCCAGCATAAAGTCCCTTTGGAACCTCATAATTAATACCCTTCCTTTTTGAGCACCTAAAAAAACTTGGGGAACTCCATTCTAGCTCGAGAGCCCCACCCATCTCTCTTATTCTAAAATTCAAAACCTTTCCCCAATAAACCCCAGTATTCCCTGGAGCCTTATCCATCTCCACACCATTGGAGGAGACCCTCCTCTTAGAGTCTCAGTACTCTCCGGATCCTCACTCCTACAAAATCGGGGTCCGAAATAGATCCAAGAATCATGGTCTTCGATTCCTCTCACTGAAGCAGTGGGTTCGTGTTCCCCTAAATCTGAATTTCTGGTTCCCCCAGATCACCAGACTTTGGAGTAGAGGGGGCACAAGGAAGAAGGGTCTCCAGTGCGGCTTACCCGGCCGGGCGACTCGAAACCAACGGGACCTGGACGGCCTGGCTGGGGCTGGGGCTGGGGCCCACGGTGGCAGCGGTGGCTGAGAGGAGCGGTAGCAGCAGCACCAGCAGGAGGGGGCGGCGGCCTCTGAGACCAGGGCGCCGCATCTTGTCGGGCGCGGAGTCCCGGGTCCTGGCTGGCGATCTGTCCAGCGGGTCCGGCTCCTCGCAGCCCCGCCCCCGCCCCCGCCCCCGCCCCAGGACTACTCACTTTCTCCATAATCCGCGCCGGGGGCTGCGAACTTCCCGCCAATCAGAACCCTGCACTGCTAGCGCTCCCCGCGCCGCCAATCCCGAGGTGGCAAGGGAGGGGATAGACTGACAGGTGCCGGCGGGGGCTCTGCGGTCTCGAGTTCGTCCGGAGGTGAGAGGAAGTCAAGAGTTAGGTACTGACTCTGTGAACCTTCTCGTGGAGCAGGGGCCCCAAATGAGGGGTGCGTACAATTGGTAGGGGTAAGAGGGCGGAGCAAGGACCCCTAAGCAAGACTCCTGCTGGCAGGCGTCATCCCTCACTCACAGTTCTGGGGCAACTTGGTCGGAATTGAGTTCTCTCGCTGCTGTAAAGGGTAGAAGCTCCCTTGTGAGCCCCCCTCCCACGCTTAAGGTTCTGGGAATGAATGCCAATCCTGCACTAGACCCCAGGTCTGGCTGATATGAACGGCTCAGGTCCACATTGGGCCTGTCCAAGGTCCTATCCTTCGTGGTTCCAGACTCACCACCTGTGAAAACTTGTTCCTCCAAACCTCTGCTATTCAGTCGACCCAGACTCCATCCCTGACCCACAAATCTGCTCCCAGGGGACTCCCAGCTCTGAACCCTCCTGCACCCATCTCCATTCCTGCCCCTAGAAGATACCAGACCCCCTTTCCTGCCCGAATCCTTAAAGTCTCCCAAGAGCATGCTCCCATTCCCAGAATTGCAGACTTTCTCCTTCGAGAGTTCCAGGCCTAAGGACCTCCACTGTTAGAAATCCTAAGCCATAAGGAGCCGTAGGCCCGGTTCACACCCTCTTTAGTGAATAACAGGCTTCAAGTCCTGCTCACAACCTACAAACGCACAGCGTCTCAAGTTCAGTTCCTTCCTTTATAAAATTCCAGGTACTCGCGCTCTTTTCTCCAAACTACAAGCCCCGCCCCTTCCCCCAGGGCACAGCCCTAGACGTTCAGACCCTGCCCCCTAGTCACCTTTTTTGAGCTCCAAGCCACACCCCCCTTCTTACCGAAAACTGGGACACAGTCCCACACTTAGGATCCCAACCCCCCCCCCTTTCCCTGTTTGTCCCACTTCTCAGTTCCAGGCCTCATTTCTTCAAAGCAGTTTAATTTTTAAGGTTTCTACATCTATAGAGTTAGCCCGGTACACCAGTGCCCAAACCAGGTAGTAGGCCACACACCCTGACAGCAGGGCTCATCTCAGAATAACAGAAAATGATTCAGCTTCGCTCCCACCCGCTACTCTGCTATTTCCAATGGAAGGTGTGCAGGACCAACGCGGACAGGAGATCCCTTTGCCACCCCCTCCCCCGTGAAGCAGCACACACATGACTCACATAGCCACACTTAGACCTGTCACTGCCACCTACAGCAATCCACGCCTCCATCCCACACTGACACCTAGAAATCTGGGCCCACCCACGGTCCAGAGACACAGCCCCCTAGAGCAGTAAAGGTGGCAGTCAAGCCTCACTCACGGTCATTCGTGGACTGACCCAGTGCGATGATGGAGTGCTCCGCTCTGCCCACTGACTGTGCTCCGTCTCCCCTGCTTTTGTTTGGCCTCAAGATCCCTGCTCACGTGGCCCTGAGGGACATAGTATCCCTCACCTTTTCCTCCCTCCCCACCTCCTACCCTGTGGCTGGAGCATTTGCTGGGGGCGCTGCTGAAATTTCTCCCTTCCGCCTGGGATCCAGGGCATCTTCAATGCTCGTTGCTAGGCAACAGCCTCTGGCTCACCACTGCAACTTCCGGGGATGGAATCAGCTTCACTTCCCCCCAGAATTTGGAGTCCCCGTTTCCCAATCTCTCACTATCTCCTGGGTTTGTGCGTATATTGTCCCTGGATCCTGATCTGATCTCAACCCTTTAGAAGTCCTCAAAGTTCTACATCCCTGGCATTCCAGAAGCTTCTTCCTATCCACACACTGTTTTATCCCTAATATTAGATTTAAAAAAACAACAACTCTTCAGTGTTCTATATTTGACCACACTCCATAGCTCTATTACTTATAGAATCATGAGCATTCCAGAAATACAAGAGTTCCCTGGCATGGGAAAAATGACCTCAATATTCTAGATCTGCAAACATTATTTGATATTCCCTGACATTCTAAGCCCCCCTCCCACACACACACACTCAAGAAATTCCTAACATTCAAACATCTCCCAGTGTTTTGAATATCCTGGCCCATGGGGGAAAAAAAAAAGTTGAACTTGAGATACATAGGCATTCTGGAACACCCAGGTTTTAGAATCACTCACCTTTTAGGTCTCCCTTTGTGTTCTAAATTCTCTGACAATCTAGAACCTCATGCCATAGAGATTTCCTGGAATGCAAACAAACCCTCTAATGCTGTGGAAGGCTTAACGGTCCACAGCTTCTCCCATTCTTAAGATACCCTATTAATTCAGACTTTTTTCTGTATCCTATAGTAATTCATAGCGTGCTAGAATCCAAGCGAAATATTCCTACTGGTGGAGAGTCACAGACATTTCTTGATACTTTCCTATTCTAGAATCATTGACTTTCTTCCAGGTCTTTTTGTCAGAAGCATCACCAGTCTAGATTCCCTAATATGCAGTCGAGAACCCTAATATTGCTAATCCACTAGCACTCCAGGATAACCCTAGGTTCTAGATTCCCTAGCATTCTAGACCTCTCTCCAGTATGTTTCAGAAACTCTAATGTTCCAGAAATTCTGGATTATCATATTCTAAAATTCCTTGCTCCTAGTCTGGCCCATTTTCTCTCCTCTTTAAGATGCAGAAAACCTCCCTGAGGATGTGACCAGAGGAACAGGCAAGATTTTGGAGGGAAAATTCAAAACATCAGGCTAGATTGAGCTGAAACTGTCTCCCACACAGGAAAGGGACTGGGCATCCAGGGATGTTGGACAAGATGTTTGGAGTGTCGAGATCTGGGGTACGAATGTTAAGGACACAGCAATGACAGCTGCCATCAGTGTTTCTGACTGCCTGTAGCCATCCTTCCTTTTCTGAAGTAACATTACCCTAATACTCTTTTCAGGAACTGCTTTTCTGCTCTGCTTACATGGGGCTGACCTCACCTCCTAGCTCATGAGGGTTCGTGACCCAGGCTGGGACAACAGAAGCCCTTCCTCACACTGGCCAGGGTGATTGGCTTGGGAATACTTATCTGATTCAATTCAACCAATAAGAATCTATCCTGTGATTCTGATTCATGAGAGGGAGGGAGGGAGGGAGGGGGAGAGAGAGAGAGAGAGAGAGAGAGAGAGAGAGAGAGATGCTAAGGAGCTTCATGGAATCATCTTGCCCCAGAGAGAGAGACAGAGGACCTGACTGAAGATGATGCGTCCCAGAGGAAAGTAAAGGCAAGAGACAGAAAGACATTCTGAATCCCTGGATCCAGCCATGCCTGAAGCCAATACTTAAGTCAATACATTCCCTTTTTTGCTTAAATCGGGAGAGGTAGATTGTTCTGTTTACACTCAGGAAACTGATCAGGGCTCCCCCTCTTTCATCCTGTTCCTGGGGATCCCAAAACCCACCAAGAATGCAAACAAGGATTTGGCAATGAGGACTTTATTGGAAAGGACAGCTTTGGCTTCCAGAAAAGGGGGGAAGATTGGGACCTAGTAACAGTGACCACTCTGAGGAGGACCTGGCCCTGAACCCAGGGCTCCAACAGAAAGCCAGGAGGAGGCACCTGAGTTCCCTGGGGTCAGGGTATCCAAAGGCACCATGGCAGTGTTCAAAAGGAAGTTTCATTGAGATTCTTCTTCGGAGGCGTGAGGGGAGCCCCAAGCCCCGTGGAGGTGGAGGGCCGAGGGGCTGGTGTTGGTGGCCGGCGGGGCTCTGGTGCACTCCGCACGAGTTCCTGGCAGCGTTCCACGAAGCTGCCCCCACGGCGCCGCACTTCTGCCTGCGGGGGGCTTGGGCTGCCACGGCGGCCAGTCAGGGAGGTGTTGCTGGAGGCTGAGTGTAGACTGAGGGGTGGGAGAGTGAGGACCGGCACCCGGCAGTGGCCCCCCAGGCCTCCCCGCTGTCCCCTTCCTCACGGCAGCTACCTGGTGAGGGAGGCCCGGGGCGAGGCGCTGGGCAGAGAGCCCCGAGAGGAAGCCAGGGGGGCCAGCTCCCACTGCTCCAGCTGTCCCATCAGCTCTTCCTCTGTCAGGCCACCTGCTGAGGGGCAAGGACCCAGGGTTCAGCGGGAGACAGGGCCTGGGGTGCAAGGGACAGGGCCACACTGCGAGCACCAGGGCTGGACAGGTGGGAGGGCACAGAGACTGATGGGCAGGGTCAGCGGCTGAGGGAAGGGCATGGAGGGGTTGGCGGGTGGGAAAAGGGGCCAAAGGAGAAGGCAGGGGGCCAGAGGGCAAGGGCGTGGGCAGGGAGCATGCCCAGGAAGGTTCCAGACGGCCTGGGTGGGTGAGGGCTAGCTGGGTTTGGGGTAGGGTGGCGAGTACCAGGGGCCTGGCCAAGGCCGTCCATGGCGGTGGTCAGATCCCACATGGCCAGGCTGCCGTTGGCTTGGCCAGTGAGCAGGTAGCGCCGGGGCCGGGAGCCCAGCCGCCGGGAGCCCTCGCACTCCAGCACGGTGAAGGCGGTGGTGGGTGAGCCGTCCACTGAGCGCACCGAGCACACGCTAAGGGGGCGCAAGGCGCGAGCGGTCACTCTGCACAGCCAGAACCCAGCTGGGTCCCTTGTCCCCGCATCCCTTTCCCAGGTGCCTCACCACGTAGCTTCAGTTCCTGCCCCTCCAATCACCACCCCCAATCTTTACGGCTGCCAATCCATGTTTTCCTTGAGCACCAGCGGCCTCTTGGACACCCCGGCTCCGTCCACTCACCATGATGCCCACTGCACCTCAGAGTCTCCCCAGATCTGCTGCTTGTCCCTGTTCCCCTCTTCAAGCCTCATCCAGAGGCTTCCCCCACCTGCTACCCGCTGCCACCTGGCATCTCTCCACACCTGCCTCCTCCCTCTTGCACCAGGCACCTGGGTCTTGGCCTCTGAGGCGACTCCTGTTGGCCCTCAGGTCCCTGGGACGCTACTACACCGGGATGACACCTCGGCTCTCCCACATGACTGACAAGACCTGCCCTCTCCTGCCGCCCACCCCACCTCAGGCACCTGGCCTTTGGCCTTTGGGTCTTCTCAGTCCTTGCCCTCCTGCTTCCTCGCCGGCCACACTCTCTCCTGCCCTTCTTTCCTCTCTCCTGCTCAGAGTCCTCTCTTCAAGCCACCCTCCAGGCCGGAGTGAGCAGAGCTCTGGGATCCCACAGCTTCCTGGGCCCCATCCGGCCATGACTCTGCCCGCCCTGTCCCACCCGTGCACTGGCCTGAGAATCCTCCAGCTTCGCCTCCCCCAGGCCTTTCGCGCCTTTCATCCCTCCAGTCGCCAAGTCCACTGGGCCGTTCGCCCTGCCAGCCTTCACTCCTTCCGTGTCCCTTGGCTAGGACCGCTTTCTGGCCTCCAAGACCCAGCTGCACCTTGTCCTCCCCCGACCACCTCCCCATTTGGGGGACCAGTCTCACCGCTGTCCAGTGGATGAAAGACGCACAAAGAGCTGGCTGGCGTTGGGCACCACCTTCTGGATGAACACCTGCTGGTCGTCCCGCTCACCGTAGGGGCCTGGACAGGCAGAAGCAAGGGCAGGGCTGGCCAGGGCCCCCTGGGCCTCCAGACCCTAAGGCCCTGCCCCTTCCCACTGCGGAGCACCCTCCCAGACCTGGCCCCACCCCCCAGGCTCCTGGGTTGGCCAGGGTCTGGTAGGGTGGGGTAGGTCGCAAAGGTCAGTAGAGTTTAGGTCCATGAGGGGTCCTGGGCCAGGTGGCTGGCAGTAGGAATCAATGGGGATGACAGAGGTAAACAGGTATCATTTAGGAATCAAAGAAGGTCGAGAGGGGTCAGGTGCAACCCAGTAGAGGTCAACAGGGGTCAGCAATCAATGGAGTGGAAGTTGACCAGGTCAGCTGGTGGGTTAGTGGGAGCCCACTGGGTCCAGCACATTAGTGGGGAAGGGGCCAGGGGTCAGTAGGCACCGATGTCGTTGCCAGCACTGCAGCCACCGTGCCCATCGGCTGACTCTAGCGCCAGGATCTTGAAGGATGCGAGTGGGGTGGAGCCGGGCTGGGTGGAGATCATGCCTCGGAATCGCGTCACAGACCATGTCCGCACGTGATTGTTGTCAGCACAGACTGCGGAGACCGGACGTGTAAGGTCGGGCCTGGCTGTGGTGTCAACCCTGCCCAGCCTTCCTGAGCCTCAGGATGAGCCCTGCAGAGTTGCCAGGATCCAGCCCTCTCCTCATTCTTCCCTTCCAGAGAATTTTCTCTCCCCACAATTCCAAATGGCCAAAATTCTGCTGGCTCTTTCTCAAAAATGGTTCCAGAACCTAATCTCATGTTAGTCACCCTGTCCACAGCCTTCACCCTGGTCCTGTCTCATCTCCTGCTGGACCATCACAGCAGCCCCCTCCCTGGGCTCCCGGTTCCAATTCTGTCCCGACACTCTTCTCCCACATGCAGTCAGAAACGGCCTGGGAACACCTAAGTCAGCCACCTCCCTCCTCTGCTCAGAGGTCCCCCCCCCCCCCCCGCCTGGCTGCTGCCTGTCACCTCTCTGCCCTCATCTCGCATTTTCCTTGTTGCTTACCCCACCGCAGGCCCAGGGGCTCCCTGCTCTTCCCTCAGACACATCAAAC